CATCCATCCATCCATCTATCCTTCTATCATCCATCCACCTATCGATCTATTATCCATCCATCCATCCATTATCTATCTATCTATCCATCCATCCATCCATCCATCAGTCCGTCCGTCCGTCCGTCCATCCATCCATCCATTTGTCTATCCACCTATCCATCTACCATCCATCCATCTACCCATCTATCCAGCTATTATCCATCCATCCATTATCCAATCATCCATCTATTTTCTATCCATCCGTCTATTCACCTATCCATCTAACATCCATCCACCCATCCATGCACCTATCGATCTATAATCCATCATCCATCCATCCATCCATCTATCATCCATCCACCTATCGATCTATCATCCATCCATCCATCCGTCCATCCATCCGTCCATCCATCCATCCGTCCATCCGTCCATCCATCCATCCATCCATCCATCCGTCCATCCATCCATCTATCATCCATCCATCCATTATCCATTCATCCATATACAGTATTTTTCTATCCATCCACCCATCCACCTATCCATCTAACATCCGTCCATCCATCCCTCCACCAATCTATCAGGCTTAAACCAGTCTGAGGTGGTTAGGCCGGTCTGATTTGATGATTTTCAAGGTGTTCAGCGCTTGTTTCATGAAGCTTTCAAACCTTTGTGAATCATTTGTCTCAAACCAGTTATTCAGAGCCTGTATCAAACTGCCAGCAAACAGCAATTTCAGCAAATTTCAGCAAAACAAGGCTTTATTAAATCAGAACTGTTTCGAAATTTCACTCGCCACAAGGAGGCGTTAATCTCTGTGAACTGTGAAATCAAGTCCTGCAAATAAAGAATGTGTTCATTTCATTTAATAGATTACACTTTTTATGCGTGTTACGGCATTTTTGTTACATTTACATTGTTCTGACCATCATGGGGCATTTCAAGTACTTTGAAACAGTGAATCATTTTGTGAAGCAATTGGTTCAATTGATTCAAAGTTTTGTTTGCTTCATTTCTCCCATCACTACTAGTAAGGATCATGTTTACTAAACACTGGTGATCATTCATAGACCTGAAGCAGGGAATGTTGTCTAGTGAGCAATCATTCCAGGACCTGGAAATGTCTGATTCCCTGGGTAGTGTGCTTACTGCTGGACTAGTGTGTGGATTGAGACGTAGCCACAGGCTACATGAGGACACGGTAAGTCAGGCACGTCGGGCGATAAGAAGAAAACGGTTTAAGCAGAGAATCGATACATCTGGCTTCAGTTTGTCTGAGTTTAGTGCGTCTGCGAGCACAATGAAAGGTAAAAGCTCACATCATTCAGCATATAATAGATAAAGATGTAGTTGACATTTACATTATCTTTCAACTCAACGCAGAGCACCGGCATCGTCTGTTCTAATGCAGCGCTTTGAAGACGTTGTTGGGCGTTGGAATGTCACCATTGAACGAGACGCGCTTCTGTGTGCAGATCAAACGCGTGGCGTGAGGTTTGATCAGTACCTGCTTGAACTTCACTCTAGTTTGCTGCTTTGAGAGAGTCATTAATCAGAGATGCTCTGTGCCTGAGAGAGAGACGACTACGAGAGCGAGCCTTGATGTGAGAGAACACCGGCGGAGTGTCGAGCTTCATGAACGCTGGAGGAGTCGAGGCTTCATGCTCTTAGATGAGAGAAGAGTAAACAAAATGATTTTCAAAGCAAAAAACACCAGAACAGAAATGGAAGTGTAAATATGATGCATGTGGAGGAAGAGAAACACGTGCAGTCAGAGGACAGAGAGCGATTGGACCTCAACTGTTGAAGTTGAATCTGAATTTATCCATCCTTCCATCCATCAAACAGTCTATATATTCATTCATATATCATTCTGTCTGTCGATCTATCTATCGTTTTGTCTATTTGTTTATATATCTGTCTAGTGTTCTATCTATATCTATCGATTGATTGATCGATCGTTCATTCGTTCATTTGTTCTGTCTGTTGTTCATTTGTTTGTTTGTTTGTTCATTCTGTCTGCACTCTAAAAAATGCTGGGTTAAATACAACCCAGTGCTGGGTAAAATAGGGACAAACCCAGCAATTGGGTTGTTTTGACCCAGCGGTTGGGTTAAATGTTTTACCCAACCTTCTGGGTAGGTACCCAACCGCTGGGTCAAAACAGCCCAATTGCTGGGTTTGTCCCTATTTTACCCAGCACTGGGTTGTATTTAACCCAGCATTTTTTAGAGTGTAAATCTGAACTATCCTAAAATGGCTGTTGCCAGCAATCTATCTCGGAATATAAACATTTTAGAAACATTTGACGATAATGAGCTTTTAAAAAGACCCAGCAATTGGGTTGTTTTGACCCAGCGGTTGGGTTAAATGTTTTACCCAACCTTCTGGGTAGTAACCCAACCGCTGGGTCAAAACAGCCCAATTGCTGGGTTTGTCCCTATTTTACCCAGCACTGGGTTGTATTTAACCCAGCATTTTTAGAGTGTGTGTTTATATCGGTCTGTCTGTGTATCTGTCATTAGTTTGTTTGTTCATTTATTCTGTGTTCTATCTATCTACATACCTACCTACTTATCTACCTACCTGTCTGTCTGTCTATATCTTTCTATCTATCTATCATTTGTTTTTTTTTTCGTTCATCCATTCATCCGTTTGTTCAGCTGTTCTGTCGGTCTGTCTGTTGTTCATTTGTTCTTTTGTTTGTTTGTTCATTCATTCGTTTATTTGGTATGTCTGTCTATCTGTCATTCGTTCATTCATTAGATTGTTCATTCGTTCGTTTCTCCCTCAGTTGTTAAGTCGTTCTGGGTTACATTTACATTTAGTCATTTAGCAGACACTTTTATCCAAAGCGACTTACAAATGATGACAATAGAAGCAATCAAAACCAACAAAAGAGCAATAAAAAGCAAGTGCTATGACAAGTCTCGGCTAGCCTAACACAGTACACATAGCAAGGTTTTGTTTTTAATATATATATATATATATATATATATACACAGTATATATACTGTGTCTCTGCTGCAGTGATTCAAGGGACTCGCTGAACCCAGCTGAGCAATGACTTGGCTTTTCTGTTCTCCTTTTCTCTCGTCTATAGAAACTCAAGTTCCCAACCAGCCGAGCTCTCTGCACGTGCGTCCGCTGCCCAACAGCATCATCATGAGCTGGACTCCGCCGCTGAACCCCAACATCCTCGTGCGCGGCTACATCATCGGCTACGGAGTGGGCAGCCCATACGCCGAGACCGTGAGAGTGGACAGCAAGCAGCGCTACTACTCCATCGAGAACTTGGGTGAGAAACACGACTTAAGCCGGGCACACTCTGTGCGATTTTTAATAGTCCTTTACAGGGATGTAACGATATCAAAATCTCACGATACGATATTATTGCGATATGAACTCCACGATACGATCTTTATTGCGATATTTAAAAAGACAAATTAATAAATGGAAAACAATTTTAAATTTTGCACATTTTAAAGTTAAATTCTTCTATCTAATGCACTTTTAAAAGTTCTAAATTAAGCGCTCCAACCCATGTTTCTTAACTAAGAAAACTAAAGTCAGTGAATTGACTTGTAGCTGAACTTTAAAGGAGACTCAACCCTCTTTTTATTTGTGATATACTGTCTCAGTCTAAATTACAGTCACACTGGTGTTTTAGGAAGCCAAACTAATTAGAATAGAATAATAACAACAATGACAATAGTAGCCATATATTGTAAAAAAAAAAAAATTGCATTGTAAAATAAATGAAAATGAATATTTCATAGGTGTATTATTTTGGCTTTACACTACAGTAGGGAAATTACAATACTTCTTTCCTAATTTCTACACTTGAAAGAGATATTTTGAATTTGGACTGCATTTAAACCGCAAGCTGTCAGCAATTCATACGTCACTTTAAACCTTATTTTGAAGTTAAACTCCAGCTTCAGTGAAAACAGGCTTACAAAAACACATCTCACTACAAATCTAGTGAAATGCTGCAATCATCTGCCGTGAAAATAAAGCATAAGTGGTGGCTGTTGTGTTCCCAAACGCATGCTAAACTCACAGAACGTGAAATAAACGTGTTCACTGCGTTCATTCAGTGTGAACGGATTCGTTCTGAGATGCACCGGATCATGAGCTGATCGTCTGAACGAAGTGCGCGCTTCACTTTGAAACAGACTTGATGAAGGGATTAAGCCATATTATATCATATAGGATTTTCAAAATTGGTCTCAGACGACCAAATCCTGGCCTAAATCACACCGTGTGAGCCGGGCTTTAAACAGCAGTTCTGTCAGGTCATGTGATCCGAGAGTCATTTGCATTGATTCAATCAGAGAGTCTCTGCTGTCATTCAGATCCCTTATTATAGATCATTGATCACCTGATGAGCAGCACTCATCAACATATTGTTATTTGAAAGCTCTTAAGTGCTTGTTATGAAAAGCGGTGCGAATTCATTTACTGAAATGGCTTCCCGTTCATTTATTCATTATGAAGAATGAAATTAGAATCTTTTATTTAAAGGCATCTAATTTGAGAACAAGTGAGGTGTGAATTGATTTTTTCTCATCACACCTGACAAAAGACACAATGACAAATCTCGAATTTTAATATTCATGAGGAGGCTCGGTTAGTTCGGCGCTCATGAATACGTAATGGAAGTTTGTTTGAGATCAAACACGCTCCCTCGTGTTAAAGCACGCTAATGTTTTATTTATTCTATTTTTCTGAGATTACACAGAAAAACGGATGTCAAGAGGAGTTTACGACTCCCTGAATAGCTTCATTAAAGCGCGTTCGTTTCGTCAGCCGTTTGCTCGTGGTGAAATTCTCACCTGTGCTCGGCTTCTGTTCTCTGAACGCTCATCTGGCCTCGTCTTACCTCCGTTCTGGACAAAAATAAGGCCACGTCCTTATCAATATTTCACATGGAATCCACAGGTTGCCATGGCAGCGGTATTGAACCAAGAGCGGCTACCCAGAAGGAAAAGAGAATCGAATGGAAAGAGGAAAAGAGCATCTTCTGTTTCTTTGTTCAGGGGTTTCATACGGACACAACAGAGCCATAAATGAATATTTCAAAGCCTCGATCAATTACAGCCTCAGAATGAAACTAGTTGCGTCCTGCGGAGGCGCTGCTGGAAACAGAAGAGCGCCTCTTGTGTATTATAAAAATGTAATATTATCATCAATAATAACTTAATTTGAATTTCCTCACTTGATGTCTTGCTTTGTTTGCCGTTGTTTTTCTGCACTTCTGCTGCATTTATTTTTCCCTGAATCACTGAATTATATTTATGTCAGTGATTATTGTCAAGTCTCATTTATTTTATAGCGCTTTATGCAGTACCGATTGTTTCAAAGCAGCTTCACAGAGATTAACAGGAAAATAACAGTGTTGCAAAATTCAACAAAGACAAGTGTCACTATTCAGCTCAGTTTAGTTGAGTAACAGTGCCAATGTTGCAAAATTCATTAATTAAAAGAAATTATAATTAGGGCTGTCAAGCAATTAAAATGTCTAATTTTTATTAATTACATGATGTGCCCCTCCAAAAAAGATCATTTAAAATCATTATTGTGTTAAATAGATATTTCAAAACTGTAGCTTTAGATATTTTGATAGATCAAAATAGATATTTTGATTCAACATTGCATAAATAATGATTATAACTATCAATGGTATTAAAAAGTGAATATGTGAAACTAAAATCACCAGAAGGTAGCGGCAAGTCACTGAGTGAAGTCATTGAATCATTTACACAACTGATTCATTCAGAAACGAAGCAAGTGGCTCTTTATGAATGAGCCACTGAATCACTGACTCACTTGATTCATTCAAACAGCTGAAACATTCATGAAGCAAGTGAGTCTTTATGAATGAATCACTGAATCATTGACTCACTTGATTCATTAAAACAGCTGAAACATTCATGAAGCAAGTGAGTCTTTATGAATGAATCACTGACTCACTTGATTCATTCAAACAGCTGAAACATTCATGAATCAAGTGAGTCTTTATGAATGAATCACTGTATCACTGACTCACTTGATTCATTCAAACAGCTGAAACATTCATGAAGCAAGTGAGTCTTTATGAATGAGCCACTGAATCACTGACTCACTTGATTCATTCAAACAGCTGAAACATTCATGAAGCAAGTGAGTCTTTATGAATGAATCACTGAATCACTGACTCACTTGATTCATTCAAACAGCTGAAACATTCATGAATCAAGTGAGTCTTTATGAATGAATCACTGTATCACTGACTCACTTGATTCATTCAAACAGCTGAAACATTCATGAAGCAAGTGAGTCTTTATGAATGAGTCACTGAATCATTGACTTGATTTGTTTAAAACCATGGATTCATTCAGTAACGAACCAGACGTTCATCAGTTCTGCTGTGACTTTGATTGGAACTGTTTTTATTTGTGAAATTGAGCAGACAACATTGTGTCTAAAATGTAACAATAGTAACTTCTTGTTTATTGAACTATTAAATCAATATGACATTTGCAGTCGTGCAGATATTGGGGAGAAATGGCACTTTTGCTGGTGTGGTATTGCTAAACTATATCATATATAAATATAAGCGGGTGACTTTTTGCCCTGACTTCTTGAATTTTAGGCTCATATAGCTGCATAAATGAGGCGCTGCATTAAATGCATTGATCACTTTAAAGGGGTCATATGATGCTGCTAAAAAGAACATTATTTTGTGTATTTGGTGTAATGAAATGTGTTTATGCGGTTTAAAGTTAAAAAAACACATTATTTTCCACATACTGTACATTATTGTTTCTCCTCTATGCCCCGCCTTTTTGAAACGCGTCGATTTTTACAAAACTAATCGGTCTGAAAAGCGAGGTGTGCTCTGATTAGCCAGCTATCCAGTGCGTTGTGATTAGCCGAATACCTCAAGCGTGAGACGGAAATGTTACGCACCTCACCATACTGTTGATGCCGTGTCCCGGACGAAGCGACGAGACAAAAACGAGAATAAAAGTTACGCCTTCTTTCTTTGCGTGAACATTTGGGCGGCGTTATGCAAATCTTCCCAGATCGTGACGTAGGTATGTGGGGGCATGTTAGAAC